TTCATACCCCGAGACTCAGCTTTTCATCTCTGGGGTCAGGACAGCCAGGAACTGCTCCAAGACCACCAGGTCCAGCATTTGGCCTTTCATGCAGTCTTCTTACTTCAGCCATTGACAATAAAGTTGGTAGAGTTGGCTGCAAATCTCATGGGCCTCCTTGTCTTCCTGGAAATGGACATTTATTTAAATAATTTATAAGGTTACCTGTCTCACAACACTGGTTCTGGGCAGCATTTAAAGATTAAAATCCAACAATTAATGAATAACTCCAGATTTCCTGAAGTGCTTCTGAATGGGTGGTTTCTTCCTTCAGGATCTTCTGCCCACTTCTTTTCCACATTTCTAACCAGCTCCCTTTTCTAGTTCCCTTGGATATTGTGCATCCATTTTCTCTCTTGTTCTAACTCAGCTCTATCTCATCTCAACCTTTTCCCAGCAACAAGCGAAGGTTAGTCTGTGAGACCAAATGTGGTATTGCCACTGCCTTCCTCAAATTAACCCTAAATCACCATTTCATTACTTCCTCAGACATAGAGTTACATTCTCACTCTGACATGCAAGTTAGGTACAGACAACGTCAAACCTAAAACATGGGTTAATATCTGCTTCCGAACAAGCTGCAATGCCCAAATAAACCAGATTATTGTGATGTCCACACAACCTGCTAGGACAATACCTGAGTTCCCAGAGCAGCTGAACTATAAATGACCAAGGCCACTTTCAGCTCCTGTAGCATAATCATGTGAACACTGCCACCCAGTCCTCTTTGGGTCTCAGCTCCTATGAAACTTTTGTTAGTTTGCTTGAGTTTTGCAATGCAAAAATTACCCCCTTTCCCCCATTCATTCAGTAGCTTTTTTCAATGACTCCTAGAATTGAAAGGGGGGAGTGACACCTCCAAATCACATCCTTCATCAAATTAAGTCATGCTTATTTTTTTCCTTCTTACCTGGCATATTCATGGAAAGCAAGGGGATATGGGACCTCTTCCCAATACTCAGAACTTGATGAAGACCTTTTATTTTTTTTACTTTCCTCCCCAGAAAGCCCTTGGCTTTCCCCACCCTAACCCAGGAAGAATCATGCCCAGATCCCCATTCTTCCAGATTTCCTGCAGCCTGGACGACTAAGATTTAAAGAGAGGGAATGCAGATTCCTAGAGAGGGAAGACACTTAGGAATGTCCTTCATTCCTTATCATCCCTTGACAAAACCCATAATGCAAGGTACACAGTCAACTGGCTGAACTGCAGGAGTTCCCAGTCCTGATATGTTTGCAAGGCCACAGAATTCTGCAACTAATGGGTGTCATATCTTTATTAAAGTCCTGTGCCTCAGTGTGTGTGCAGTAAGTTTCCTACAGGGGCTGGGGAGTGGTTGAAGTGGGAACGAAAGCACCTCTGTGCAAAGAAAAACAAAGTCGGGGCATGGAAGACGAGACCAAAGAGAACTTCTTCCATTGGAAGCATTCTCCACAAGAACCTCCCACCCACCCCCTAAAGCTTTTTGTCTTTTTTTCCACTGAACCTGGAAGCTCATGCTGGGGATGAAGACAGAATCCCAAAGGATACTTAAGGCCAATTGGTTTATCAATAACATCAACACTTTCTTCTCCAGTTGGATGGAAGGAATGCTCAAGTACACACAGAATATCCTAATTTGTACACAGGAATAAAAACATGAGATTGGACTTGGCTCAACATAGAAAAAGAAGGCAGAAAAATCAAATATCCTCATTAAAACTTTTAACAATTTTCCAAAACAAAATTTCCTCTGCCTCATTTCCCAAGACTTATTTCATCTAGTTGGGTATAACCCACTTCATTCATATCTGCCAGGGAAATGATGATCCACCACTCTTGTCCAATCTCTTTCTCTGGATTTCTCCCAGTTCAAGTATGCTTTGATCTCTAAAAAACAGTCCTTTCCACCTCTAGCAGAAGGCAGAGCATGTGAATCTGACACTATGCAGGACCAAGAGACATGTTGTCAAAGTTACAATGATTTAGCCCTGAAAGCAAGATTCTCACAGAAGCTGATTTAACCACTATTGAAATTCTCCAGATCAACTTATGCCTAGCATAATTGAAGCAGAGTTTCTCTGAGTCTTTCTCTCAGGCTTCCCCTCCCCCCTGAGTTGAGACACCTCTTTTGAAATGGTCCTGCTTCTATATCCTTTCCCATTTTCCCTGAGCCTGTTAGATATTTCATCATATAAGTGCATTCATTTTTGGGACCTCATTTATTTCTTGAGTTTGCTAGGTGGAGTTATTTTCATTCTCATGGTGACCACCATGAATGAATAGGAGATGGAGCTAACCTGATAAGGGAAGTTTTCCAAACGTTCTGAACTTGAAATAGTTTCAAAAACTTCCTCCTGTTCCCAAGGCTCAGAGAAGACAATTACATCATAAATCACTCATAGAGACAGACTGGCCATCCAGCATGAGTCTGCTGTGAAAGTCAGAATATGGGGTCTGTTCACTTACAACAGGCTCTCATCCAGCACTGATTAACTGAAGCCTAACACAACCAGGTTTCAAGAAAATATATGCTGGATAACAGAATAAGCTAAAAGTCTACATAGATATTTGTGGTATTCTGTATCTCTCATTTTATTAAATGGAGTGTTTTGCAGTTCTGTACATGTGTTCCTCATTTAGCAACTGCCTTGTACAACGACCATTTGCAGTTATGATGGTGATGAAAAAGTAACTTTGTGACCAATCCTCATCTTTACAACCGTCACAGGTCTGTAAAGCAAAGGAAACCTGAAGTAAGATCATAAGCACAGTTGCAGTTTCAATTACCAACTGTTTTGCTTAACGACCAAGTTGCCAGTCCTAATTGTGGTCACTGAATGAGGACTACCTGTAACTTCTTTAACTTTTGCCCTTATTATTATCACTCTTTCTCATACAATTAATTAATATGAAAAAAAATCATTTTGACATTTATTTAAAAGTTTCCTCCGTTCCCCATAGAGAAGGATACATTCCAACACTACATTTTCTACAGCCCTAGGTTTATTCCTCACTTGTAATAGAAGCTTAAGTTGTTGAACCCAATTAATAAAAGGATATTTGTGAAGAACAATTTGCTCCAGATAAGAAAATGCAATAGAGGCCTCGTCAGTTCACTTTCAACCAGACACGTGTTGGCTACTGAACTATAGAATTCACGGTCCTGCTGGAGGAATAACTGGGGTAGAGCCTGACCAGAAGGATTTTTGAAGAAGGAGCTTATGAAGGTGTGGTGCTTCACAAATGTTTTTAGAGATCAGGGAGAATATATATGAAAATATGACCTTGAGAAAAAAAATTGTGAAAGAAATCAAATGTTGATTTATGTTCTCCACTTGGCTCTGGACAATTGTCAGTGCCTTGCTCCAGAAGAAGCAACTGCAGACAGCCTGAAAAAGGCTGTGGTGCATCCCCTCCTGAAGAGGCCATCGCTGGACTCGGTGAGGTTAGACAACTACTGACCGGTCTCCAACCTGTCCTTTTGGGAGAAGGTAGTTCAGGTGCTGGTGGTGGACCAACTTCACAGCAATCTAGACAAAGTGAATGATCCAGAATATTTTCAATCAGGGTTCAGGCTCAGTTATGGGAAAGAGAGGGCATTGATCACTCTCCTAGATGAACTGCATGGGCAAAGTGTGCCACTCCTAGTCCTGAGGGATTCCTCTGTGGCTTTTGATATCACCAGCCATCGTATTCTTTTCCACCACCTATGACATTTAGGGTTTGGAGATGTTGTGTTGCAATGGTTCCATGCCTTCCTTAGTAGGTAGTATTGGTGCAGGAGGTGAATGTTCCCTGACTTGTTGGCTGTTGCAGGGTTGGTCTTATCTCCCCTGCTTTGAACATGTATATGAATTCATGGGGAGGCATCATTCCACATTTTGGGATACAGTATCATCAATATGCTTATGATACCCGATTTTATATCACTACTCCAGGCCATAGGAGAGATGCTGTAGGCTCCCTTTCCCAGTATCTGGAGACTGTTTGGGTCTGGATGGGAAATCAGAGTTGTTGAAACATCGGGGTCCTCTTTCAGCACCAGATTTTCTCCTTAATAAGCAAGTACTACCTATCATGGAGGAGGTTCATGTCCAGGGGTTTCTTCTGGACACATGGCTCCTGCTGGATTCAGAGATGGAAGCAAGGGACACCAACTGTGCTTGGTACGCCATTTGAAACCTTAGCTGGGGCAAGAACACTTGGCAGAGCAACTCATGCCATAATGGCCACCTACTTAGCTTTCTGTAATACTCACTACTTGGGGTTGCCCTTAAAGAATATTCGGAAACTGTAGTTGATTCAAAGCCACCCACATACTTTTCGGCTGCCAAGTTTGGGAGCACCAGTTTAGGGGATATTTCATTGGTTGCCAATTGGTTTCTGGGTCCCCTTTAGGATGTTGGCTTTGACCTATAAAGCCCTTCGTGGCTTGGCACTCAGATCCCTATAGGACCATCTTCTCAAACCAGTATTGGCCTGACCAGTTAGATCTACCAGGGAGAAAAGGTTGCAAATCCCACACTTTTGAGAGGTGCCTTTCCTGTGGCAGCATCACTATTTTGAAATGGCCTCCCTGTGCAGGTCAGGCAGCCTCCCTTCTTGCTGTTCTTTCAAAAGCTCCTGAAGGCCTAGGTGTTTTGGGTAGCCTTCCCCTCATTTAACTTGATGTGATTTGATGTTGCTCTCTTTTTCTTCTCTTGGCATTGTTCTATTGCTATCCTGAACAGGTAAAAAATACTTCTCGCTACTGTGGAGATTGTGTCTCCAATGAAAAAGATTGTTCTAGAACAGCAGTTGGCAATCTCAACAAATGTATGGACTTCAACTCCCAGATTTCCCATCCAGCATGGTCATTCCTACAAATTGTAGAAAGTGAAGTCCATACAAGCTAAAGTCTACTACAAATATTTTTAGAGATAGAAAAGGATTATGAGAAATTATGATATGGGAGACAAAAATGCAGAATAGGAATGATTTATGTTTTCATTATTAGCTGTTCCTTTTTATTCAGATGTGGTCTTAGCAAAATGATGTAGCACTTGGGGATGAAGATGCAGACCAGCAGGCCAGCACTGGAGGCCAAGATTGAGAAGACCTGCACAGCCACCATGTACTTCCCTTTGGTGCTCAGGTAGGTGGGTACAAAGGAGATCCAGACGCTGCAGAAGACCAGCATGCTGAAGGTGATCAGCTTGGCTTCATTGAAGGACCCAGGGAGGTTCCTGGCCAGGAAAGCCACCATGAAGCAGACGGCAGCCAGGAACCCCATGTAGCCAAGCGCCCCATAAAACATGGTGACAGAGCCTTCATTGCATTGCAGGATGATCTCTCTAGGTTGGGAGTGCATGTCAGAATCAGGGAATGGGGGAGAGACCACCAGCCAGGTGCTGCAGAGGACCACCTGGATACTGGAAGGACAAAGGATGATGGAGTTGGCCAAACTCCTTCCCAGCCATCTCCTCACCTTGTTCCCTGGCTTTGTGGCCAAGAAGGCTAGCACAACCGTGATTGTTTTGGCCAGGACAGAAGAGACAGCAATCGAGAAGATGATGCTAAAGGCCATCTGTCGGAGAAGGCAGGTGGCTCTCCTTGGCTGGCCAATGAAGAGGAAGGAGGTCAAGAAGGAAAGCAAGAGGGAGAGCAGCAGGATGTAGGAGAGGTCCTGGTTGTTGGCTTTGACAATGGGAGTTTCTCTGTGTTTCACAAAGATTGCTAACACAAAGAAAGTTGCTAAGGAGAAGAAGAGTGCAAGGGAAGCCAAGATGATCCCCAGAGAGTCACTGTAGGCCAGGAAGGTTATTTCCTTAGGGAGACATTTATCTTGCTGCTTATTTGGATGCTGCAAGGGAAGCCAAGATGATCCCCAGAGAGTCACTGTAGGCCAGGAAGGTTATTTCCTTAGGGAGACATTTATCTTGCTGCTTATTTGGATGCTGATCTTCTGGACATTTGATGCAATAATCTCCATCTGAAGAGAAGAAAAATAACACCTATCATGTTCACTTAATCCTTTTCCAGGCCACCACCAAACATACTTCCCAGGGGAAGATCTTATGTGGAAAAAATAAAGGAAGATAGAAATTTAGGGACTGTGACCATTTTGATTAAACACAAGGACATGTCTTAGATTTTAAACACAAGTGGGGGACTCAGGCTAATGACTCTTTACATCATCAGTGATCTTTGCTTCCTATTCATGTTATTTTTAATATGTATGACATGTTTCAGACCCAGACCAAGAAAGGCAGAAGGCAGAGGTCAAACCTTCATGCAAGGTATATAGAGAAGGGTTTAGCCTTCTTATTGAAGGTTTACCCATTCCCCCTGGAGTCACCCACCTTCCTGAGTGGAGAAGGTCCCTTCCTGACAGGGAACACAGTCGTAGCAGCAGATGGGCTTCCCTTCCTGACCCACCTTGAAAGAGCCAGCCCGACAACTTCCCACACACCTGGAGGGAGGCAGAGTCTGAGCACAAAAGGGGATACAGTTTAGCAAAGATGCCCCAATGGAAAGGGATAGGAAGGCGGAGTTGGAGAAGGCTAATCAGGGCGTTAGCCACAGGCTGAATCTGGTTGACTTTCAAGCCTGTAAATAATGCTAAGACTATTTCAGTGAAGCAAATTTGTATGCTTCTTGTCTTCCAGTGCTGTGAGATCAAAGGGGCAGTGGCTGCAAGGGGATTCTTCTGGTTTCGGCTCCATACTTGAATTGAATAGTTTTCAATAGGAGATCTATTACATTGAATAGTTTTCAATGGGAGATCAGGCTAGTCTGGGCCCTTGTGAGTTTTAAAACAACTATTAAGATTTTTGGATTATTTTATTTCTCATCATTGTATTATTTGACTATGGATAATTTCTTGTTCACATCCCCTGAGAGGCAGATGATTGAGATGGTCCAAAATCAAAGAAACAATCACATTATGTCTTTCTCTGAAACTTTTCTGTCAATTTTTGTACCATTAACGTTTTCAGTCTGAAAGCCTCTTAGGGCTGGCTGGTATCTCTTGTCCAATTCTGTAAATAATGACACTAGGGAAAGTGTAAAACAATTAGCAAGAAATGGCAGTGCCTGAATCTGAAATCCAAACCAGAGCCCCTGAACTGAGTCAAAAAGCTGGATATGGAAGACATTGAGTTTAGGAGGGATTCTCTGTAACTATTCCGAACTTTTGGAAGAATTCAGAAACTCTTCACAGGAGCTTCACAGGGAATGTACAGGACTTATTTGAACCATATTGACAAAAAGAGGACCACAATTAATTGAATAGTTTCATACCTTGTTCAACCATTTGGGCCAAGTGATAGCATTCTGGTCAATGACAAATTTGGGTTCCTGGGAATTCCCTCTTGCAAAACTCCCAAATTTCATTTTGATAAGAGACCTGTTGGGAAGCGTCAACCAGTTCACAATATCCAAGTCAGCTGCCAGCTCTCCTGTCTTGTCCAAATAGACCCCATCCATGGAACTATTGTAAAAATGGGGGGGTTGCAAGAAAGGATGAACCTAGTATGGTGGGAAAAATGCAGGGGTTTTTTGTTTTGTTTTGTTTTTTAAGGAAGTGCTTGACATCAGGTCAACCATTTTCATACTTGGGACTTCTAATACTTTCAAAACATTAAGATCAGCATGAATTTACCTTTTACACTCATCCTAATTTAATATTCAGTCTATAATCCAAAGCTCACTTACTGCCTCATCCGTATTGTTACACATACAGTAAATATATTGACAGCTATATTTATCTGCCAAGAAGCTTAGAAAATACCATCTTCTCCCCCAATTAATATATTATTTTTCTCTCAAGCATCTTTATCAACCTATATAGTTTCCTCAGAGAGATTTCCATAGTAAAATTGTCCTCCCAGTACCGGACCATGTGTGCAGCATCGTCATCAATAACCTTTCTGTCATTTTTCAGAGGTCTCCCTGTCTAAGAATTCCACAAGGAATTTGTGTATATTTATGTCCTTTCCTGGGTTTGGCTTCTACTGATAGGGTGTCCCAAATACAAGGGTGAAAATTAGCCTCCGGAATGCAGGACGCTTTCTATCAAATTACTTGCTGGGTTCATCTCCCTAGAATCCTTCTTTCATTGAACCTATGAGCAGCTGCTTTTTCCTGAGATTTTCTATATTTAACTCACTAATATTGTCCTCCAATTTAAATGGTCCTGAAGGTGCTTTTCGTATCACACAACCATTGTTCCCCTTCTCTTTTATTTCCTTTCCCTGATTGTCTGTTGTGACCAGCAGATAAAGTAATCAGAGGCCATATTAGAGAATTAGCTTGGGAGACTGAAAGGGTGACAATAACAAGAATAACATTAAAAGAAGAATATAGCTTTTTGTATTTTGTGCAGAGATTCTGTGACTAAAATTCTGAGGAGCAATTTTGAGGGGCAAATAAGAGGAGATGTGTTAGGGGAACATCTGTCCACTCTCTCACACTATCTCTGGAGTCCATTTAACTACAAACTTCCCCCTTTCTTCATATGGATCCACTCTGATTTTCACTCAGCTGGCTCCACTGTGAACACAGAGCCATAGACTCCTCCTTAGGAAACCAGATTATGGAAGGGAAACTTTTCTGTTATACAGATTCAGTCTGGTCCCTGCATGGGACACATTTTTCTTCCATATTTTTCACCAAATAATCCTTATCCTTTCAATTACAGTCTGAATCTCAGTCAATGTAGCATGCAGAAAATTATACAAATGAATTTGGAAAGAAAAGCATTGACAATGGAATTCTCCAGAGACAGGGGAGTTCCACCAGAAATGGCAGCAGTTACCACATAGCCTGTAAGAACTGAGTCAACGTAAGGGTCGAAGTTATCGGACCGGCACTGGAATTTTTCCTATCATAAGATTCAGATGTAGCAGCATCCAATTGATAAGGCTTTTCTGGCCTCCTTTACTACCCTAGTTCCTTCCCCTCTGTTTGGCTTGCCATACAAATATGTTCATGTAGGCAAAGAAGAATAGCTTCACAATCTCTTCTGGATGCTTGGAACCTTCTCTCAAGAGGACCCTGACTTTTCCTTCACCATAAGCTATATATCTTCTTACCAGCTTCTATACGTGACATTAAAAATGAACTTATTCAGCTGAGAGGTCTTTGATGGAGAAAGAAATACCTGCCAAGGTTGTAGCCTTTCCAGTCCCAAGGTCTTTCCACCTTCCTTCAGCATCCGCCTCTTGGTTCTGGACACATAGGCAGCACTTAGGGCTCTTGCCACAGCCCAGACAGAGTTGTAAATGTGGTGGCTGTTGAGAGAAAGGGTCCCTTCAACCTCCTCCTGTGCTAGAGTTTCCAGGTGTTCTTTCTCTTTGCATCTCCACCAGCTTTTCACAGAGTAGGGGTGCTTTTTAAATGAACACGAAAAAGCTTTCCTGGCAAACTCAGTGATTGAAGAGAAAAGGAGATCAACATTGTCATATTTTATCCACTTCTTTGTCTGGATGAAAAAGGAGAAAATGCTGACAACATGTTGTAACGTCTTATGTCTCAAAGCCAGAGTGAGATCCCCCATAGCTGTGATGATCCAGATTTTTCCAATGGTAGTTTTTATCACAAATTTGTCTATAAATAACATTCCATAGAAATAGAGATTCTGCGTAATAGTCTCTGCATAGCAAATAAATACATTGACTTGTTTCCATTTCAAGTATAAATCAGAGCGTATTGTAAATACAAGCCTATGTAACCCTGTTATGCTGTGTGAGAAAACAGCACAGATGTTATTTTGCATGAGTAAAGGAGTCAGAGTTTTGAAGAACCTTTCTCCGTTATCAGTTTCTGGAGCAACGAGAGCCACTGAGGTCCATCTGAAATAATGGATCACCTTAACAATTCCTGTGT